CACAGTTGCTGGTAGCAAGGCCAAATTACATTTGTGTGTAATGATATATAGCAATGAACTAGGGTCCTTGAAAAAGTAGCTTCTCTGTGCTACAGGGTGTGCTTTCAACTTTTATGATACTTATTATCTGTCTGCAGTTAAATGTAGACTGAACAGATTCTTCCCAATAGTATGCAATCTAGGAAGAGAAATTAGGAGGCAACTTAAGGTATTTAACCAGTCTTCACTAACATCATCCTTGTGAGTCACTTCTCTCTGATACCCTGTTACCTGAGTCAAACCTTACATGATTTGGGGGGGGGAACCAAAAACCAGAACTTCTGCCCTTTTTTATTTGGGAATTTACTTTTGTGAGAAGATATTAAGGAAAACACAATATTATAATTAGGTACAGAATTCCTTCCTTTATTTATTTCAACTTTTTACTGTGCATCTGCTGTGTCTTGAGCACTGTTTCAGGCAATGGCAATATAGTATTGAGCAAAAACAGATAACTAAACCCTCAGGAAGATTCTATCTGGAAAGACAAGGAACAAATAAAGTGAAATTTACAGTATATTAAAAGCTGATATGTGCTGCAAGTAAAAGAGAAAAAAAAACATTGAGAACAAAAAGGATAGAACACTGCTACATTAAATAGGTGGTCAGAGAAAGCTTCTCTGGCAGTGACATTTTCAGCACAATACTAAAAGAGGTGAAGGATGAATCACAGTTCCCAGGAAGAGATGAATATGAATTGAAGCTCTAAGAAGAAAATGGGCCTAGTGGAAAAATGGCAAGAAGGTGGTATGGCTGAAGTAAGAGGGAAGGAGAAGTCAACAAGACAAAGAGGACCAGATCGTGAAGTCCAAAGTCACCACAGTAGACACATGCATAGTAAGAAACATTTGCACTGGGCGCCGGTGGCAGAAGTTCAACAGGATTTGCCTTAAGTTCTTAGAGGATTATTCTGGATTCTGTGTTGAGAACAGAATGTGAGGAGTAGAGCTAGAGACAGGGAGACAATGTGGCACTTGCAGATCAGGCCATACAGAGATGACAGCTTAAACCTCGATGCTATCAACGGAAGTGGTGGGAAATTGGCAAACTAAGTTACTTGGAAGGTCCTGAAAGTGAGGATATAATGAATTATCACTGGGAAAATATTGACCAGTTCCATATACTTCTTCTTCAGTGAAGCCCAACCTTATAAAATTTTGACCTTTTTCACTAAAAGTGTATAAACATATCTCTGGTGCATTGAAAAGATCAAGACCATAGGAGTGACAGACACTTCAAATAGAAGACGTTACTCTAAATGACAGCTGGTGAGGGTGGCAGAAATAAAGAGGGGGGAAAGCATATTCTACACACAAAACTATCATGTAAATTAGCCTGTACACACATGCTCAGTACATAGAAGTGATGAATAAGAGGAAGATACTGTCGATGAAATGACTGCTAGACAGGAAGCCCATAGTGAGGATAAGGAGCTCTTTGTTAGAAGTACCCTGTCTAAAATATACATATGGCAATATCTAAGGTAATTCGTTTTGAAGCATGAAGAAAAAATCAGGGCAAATGGTAAATGGCAGCAGCATTTCATGATGTGAGTGATTGTGAGAGCTTACAGTTTCAGCACTCCTTTTATGACACAGTGTCTTTCCCTTTGGATCCACTGATTTCAAAGGTCTGTTACCTCACAACATTCACAGATCCTGAGGATCTCCTCTGGTCTCCAGCCTCCAGTCTCTGCACACCCCAAACCTCCTACACAGCTCTCCAGGTGGGACTTTTCAGATAGGGTCTCCGGCTTTGCCCCAACTTAATGGTGATCATCCTTTCTTTGCCTTCCAGTAGCTATGATGACAGGTCTGTCATCACACCTAACTCCTGTTCATAATTTTCATGGCACTGTATCAACCCAGCACAGGTCAGTCTTTCCTTCTCACAACCTCTGTCTTCAACCATCCACCAAGATTTCTGTTACCTCCTAAATATCATTCTACTTAAAGTCTCTCCACACCAATACTACTTTTGTTAGAATCACCTCACTTCTCATATGGAAAAAGGATCATCAAAGGTCTGCCACTTACTTCCACTTTGACCCACTCCTCTACCTCAAGATAAAGCTTTAATATCTTCATGGGACCCCTAATCTGTTCAATAACCTGTCTCATGCCACCTGCTTTCTCGCTACCAAAAACCTCAAGTCTGGGCCTTCCACAGGCCACTCCCCCACCTAGAGCTTACTTAAGCCTTGGTAACTCCTATTCATCGTCTGATAACAGCTTAAACATATACCAAAAATACCCCTAGAAAACCAAACAATCCCTAAAGGGGCAGTGCTTGTTTCTTCCCCAGTCCTGATGGGGAGTTCAGTTAAGGAACTCAAACCTTCTTTCTGCCACCTTGTTGCAACAGAGATGGTTGAACTCACTAAGAAACTTAGAGTCTATCTACTCTCATTGCGGAGGACTAGGGCTTAGACAAATGGCCTCTTGGGAACTAGCTGTTCCCAGAGAAAAATGTTGCAAACTCTTCCTAAGAAGCCAAAGCTGCCAAATTGAGGCAATGTCCAGATAACAGACCCAGTTGGCTGTAAGAACAAGTCCTTTAAAAAAAAGTGATTCTGGACTGAGAAGGTGGCTCAGTGGTAGAGTGCTTGCCGTGCATGCATGAGGTCCTGGGTTCGATTCCTCAGCACCACATAAGCAGAAAAAGACTGAAGTGGTACTGTGGCTCAAGTGGTAGAGAGCTAGCCTTAAGCTGAAGAGCTGAGGGTCAACGCCCAGGCCCTGAGTTCAGGCACCAAGACAGACAAAAAGGAAAAAAAAAAGTGATACTTAGGAGCAGGTGCTGGTGGCTCACACCTGTGAACCCAGCTATTCAGGAAACTGAGATCTGAGGATTGTGGTTAAGAAGCCAGGCTTGGCAGGAAAGTCCATAAGATTCTTGCTGAGGCTCAAATGGTAGAGCATTGATTTTGAGCACTCAGGGACAAGGCCCAGGCCCAGAATTCAAACCATGACTGGCCAAAAAAAAAAAAAAAAGTGATTCTTGGGATTCATTTTACAGATTAAAAACAAGGTGCTTTGTTTTTGTTTGTTTCTTGCATCTTACAAACACATTTTATTCATGCCACATAAGAAGTGGTGCTCCTACAAGTATATATACAGCAATGTTCTGTGTTCCATCTAACAAAGCTTGCTTAAACGTGCAGGCAGACTGGCGTGTCGCTTCGTGCATTCAAAGGACCTGGCTAATGATGGCCGTGACAAGTTGCAGGTGTGGAACTTTTTAAAGCCTTACTTCTTTTATCAGCACGCCTGATCTTATACACAATGAAGCCCATCAACCCCATCCCTACCCAGATCTCCTGGTAAACCTGGGTGTAGTAGTTTCAGGGGGACCCAGACATTTTTCATAAAGCTTTGAAGCATCTCGACAGGACAGAGGGCTCAGACCCCACCAGACACCACAGCCATCTTCCAGGAAAGATCACGAACCACCACAGGGCCCAGCAGGAAGGCCAGGAGCTTTGTGTTTTAAGTCACATACACACACAAAATCAAAAGACCTGTGGTGTCATTAGGCTATAAGGAGAAATCAGGTTTTGCTTCTCATATACACATCCTGAGTACATAACACACAGTAAATGGCCATTTTAAAAAATCTAACTATGGAAACATGCTCTAATATGTCATATACTCTATAACACCAAATCAGTTAAAGAAAACAAAGCTTTTTAACTTCTACACACATACCATCCTTTAGGTCTAGACTACACTTAAGGACCTATAAAATCCAACTCCTGATTCAAAAGCCAGTTCTAGGATAAATTCCAGGAAGCCTCCTTCCCTGAGACCAGGCAGAGAGGTTTATAATTCAAAGCCTTTCCCTTGTTAGACAGGCAGCCATGTGAGCCATGTTTCCAGATATTTTTATTTTTGCTTTGGCTGTTTTTCAGATAAGGTCTTCCCTTTTTGCTGGGGCCTGCCCTTGGACGATCCTCCCACCTATGTGTGGGTTGAGGTGAGATCTGGCTGTGCCAGGGCTAACCTCAAACAGATTTCCCGCACTCTCATCTCCACCTCCAGAGTAGCTGAGACACTCAGCTCACCCCTTAGGTTTTGCTTTTGTTTCCTTTTTATGTGGATTTGTTTTGTGAAAATTCATTATACAAATGGAATCATATAGTGTCATATCCACTGAGATGGAGTTGAGGGGCAGGGAGAAATGCATGCTGTGAGAACTGTACCACAGACCCAACCCGAAGAAATGACCTGCTCCTTCTGGAACACATTTTTCTTTCCAAACAACTACAGAACTTCCCACTTCGACCTTAAGACCAGCTTTTGACTGCTGCCAATAAGCGTTTGTCAATAGCTACAAGTGGGCAAAGTGCCAATGAACTTCATTCCAGAATAACTTTGTGGGGCCCTTCAGCCTGTGACTTTATGTCTAGGATTAAAATCCTCTTGTTTATTCAAAATGTCTATTGGAGACTGATCTCTATATTTTTAAGTCTGAAGTTTGAATTAATGACACGAACACATAGGTAAATCCTCATTTAAAAAAAAAAAGATTTCAGTTAAGACCCACGTTCACCTACAAAGCTGTTCACACAGCCCAGCCCTTGGTCTTCAAGGCAGTAGTTGTGACCTGTCCTTCGTTCCCTGTTCTTTCCCTATCTTTCCACCGATTTACACACAGCTTTGAAAGTTGGAGGAGGGGGGAGAAGGCGGGTAATAAGAAACTTAGAAAAGCACCTATCTCCTACACAGCACAGACGCCAACTGGCGTCCTCGCTCCCCACGTGGGCCTCACCCCTCCTAGTTGGATCTCTGCAATCTCCCAGCGCCCAAGCCCCCATCTCTCCCCTAATGATGAAGTTAGGGTCCCAGCCCAGCTCTCCACGCCCGGGACACCCGCTCTTCAACCCCTGAGCTCTGCGTCCAGCCCCTTGGTCCTGGCACCATGGGTCCCGGCCGGGCCCCCAACCTCTCCAGCCGCCTTACCCGCTGTGGACTAAGGCCCCAAGTCAGCTGGGACACCCGAGCACAGAGGACCAGGCCGCGCAGCGCCATGTCGCCCGCAGAAGCTGCAAGGCCCGGAGGCGGGACAGAAAGGACAGAGTTCTCGGAGGCGGACGGGGCGGGGAGGCTACGCGGCGCGCCCTCCGCCCGCCCCGGGCCCCGCCCAGCCACTGCTGCCGGCTCCCCCTGGGCGCCCTGGGCCCCAAGTGCTGGAGGGCGGTGGGAAAGGTGTCCTTGTGAGTGGGGACACTTTGATGCCTTATTAAGTTGCCAGATTGCAGGAACACGTGACGCGCGCCGTCCACCGAGGGTTAGTGCATCTTTGCAGTAATTCATGTTTGCCTTAAATCCATGTAGTAGAGCATCTCCTAGTGCCCGGATAATATCTCGGATTTAAACGTGGCCTCGCTTCTCCGTGTGTGGGGGGTTGGGGGGGGGGCGGGTAAGCCGTCCCTCCCAGACCTCGAGATTTGGAAGGACACAACGCCGCCTATTGCCGAGTTGTGGCTCAGACCGTCCACCCTTTGCTAAGCGCCTACAAAAGCCAAAGCAGACGCCTAAACAATTCACCCTTGAAGAACAGGGGTTGGAAATGCATGAGTCCACTTAAAGGACTTGTCTTTTACTTGAGATCTGGGCGGGATGGGGAAGAGGGGCCGGGACCTGCCAAAAAGTGTACGCTAGCGGGTTCTCACCTATAATCCTAGCTACTCAGGAGGCTGAGAGCTGGGGATCCCCGTCCAAAGCCAGCCCGGGCAGAAAAGTCCGTGAGACCAGAAAACCGGAAGTGGCCCTGTGGCTCAAGTAGTAGGGCGCTCTCCTTGAGCTGAAGAGCACAGGGACAGCGCCCAAGCCCAGAGTTCAGACTCACTCACAACCGACCAAAAAATAAAAAATAAAATAAATGTATTCTGGGAACACAGAAAGAAATAAAAGATAGATAGAAGGAAAAGGTATATATCGAATGTGAAAAGAGTATGTTCACTTAGTAAGGTAAAATATAAAATATAAGTAAAATTATAGTCTATAGCCAGACCACCCGTTCAGTTCTGGATCTTCTCTGATTTTGGCAGCTAAGCAAGATAAGGTTTGGTTAGTACTTATTTGGGATATTATGCCTTTAAAAGTTTAATTCATCAAAAGTTAGATCATAAGCATGCCATTGCCTTCATGTGAAATGTAAGAGAAGGTCAAGCCACAGTATTGAATAAGAGCTGCATACAATCAGCTGTAGGGATCTGTCCTTCAGTAAGCCCAGATGGTAAGTATCTTTTAAAACAATCTATAGCATCTCTCACTTCTTAGTTCTTCAGCTCCTACTGTATGCAATACATAATACACAGAGAATATGATAATCAGATGTTTATTTTGTCAGTATATAGTAGGTATTAGTACAGTGTTTGGAGGAAATAGGACTGTCTTTTAAATTTACTATTCCTTTTCACCATATCTAGCATAATAGTGATCCCTCAACAAACGTATTCAATGAATGAACAAACACCACTGCTGATGCTATTTTCTAAATATGGTACCATAAGAATAACTTAGAGGCTGGGCGTCTGTAATCCTAGCTACTGAAGAAGCTGAGATCTGAGGATCGTGGTTCAAAACCAGCCAGGGCAGAAAAGTCTGTGAGACTCTTATCTCCAATAAACCACTAGAAACCGGAAGTGGCCAGCGGTAGAGCACTGGCCTTGAGCTGAAAAGTGAAGGGACAGCACCCAAGCCCAGAGTTCAAGCCCCACGACCAACAAAGAAAAAAAAAAAAGAATAACTTAGAGGAGAACTCCTCACATTGACTGGAGCCACTAAGGACTAAAGAAAAACAAAAAAGGCCATTCCATAAGGAATGGATTATGGCTTGAGCATTCTGAGAGCATAATATCCGCAGAGGTGCTGGAACAAATTCCTGGTGGATACTGAGGGCCCATGACTTGTCAATTTTAAGAAGGTGGGGGATGTAACTGTATTTTGTGATAGTTGTACTGTGTTTTTTAATTTTACATGTCCCCAAAGCCCATTTATCAACAGCTTGGTCCTCAGCCTGTAGTGGCACTGGAAGTGGGGCCTTGTGAGACTTAAGTCACCAAACACCAACTCTTCAAGGAGCTACTGGTATCCTAACACCTTCTTGACTCTCTTTCTTGCTTCTTTGATGCCATGACTGGTAAGCAGTCATCTTCTGCCATGTTTCCCTTTATTAAGTACTATGTTGATTATTAAGTTTCAGGCCCACAGCAACAGGGCCAAACAACCACAAACTGAAAGTTCTGACACTCTGAGCCAAAATAAATGTTTGTTCTGATGAGCTATTTGTCTTGTGTATTTTGTTAAGGTAAAGAAAAGCTGGATAACACTACTTCTCGTTGTAAATTCTCTGTGCCTTTAATGTATAAAAATATTTTTAAGGCTAAGTAAGTCTCTGCCAGCTTGCAACACAGTGTGATACCTTCATTAGGACTTAAAAACCATCCCTTTATATGTAATCATAAAGGAAGATAGAACCCCTATCTCCTTTAAGAATAAGAGCCTAATGTTCCTTGGCTCCAAGTTACAAAGTTACCTCCTCCGTAAAGATATGAGAACTTTAATTTTCCTTTGGGTCAAACCATTAGCTACCACAAATGTCACTCCAATTCCATGTGAATTTAAGGCAAATTATATATGACAAATGTTGCTATAACCCCTTTTTTATTCTTTTACTTTTGTTTTATATATATATATTTTTTTGTTGGTTGTGGGGCTTGAACTCTGGGCCTGTGTACTGTCCCTCAGCTCTTCAGCTCAAAGCTAGCACTCTACCATTTGAGCCACAGTACCACTTTCGGCCGTTTCTGCTTATGTGGCGATGAGGAATTGAACTCAGAGCCTCATGCATGCAAGGCAAACACTCTACCACTGAGTCACCTTCCCAACCCTATTCTTTTATTTTTTGAGACAGGGTTTCACTATGCAGGCTAGACCCCACAATCCTCTTGCTGCAGCTTCTCAAATATGGGGATGACAGGCATGCACTACTAGATTGTTTTTTTATATATATTTTTTTACTGTAAAGATACTGTATAGAGGGGTTACAATTACATGAGCAAGGTAATGAGTACATTCTTATCCAGCATTGTTACCTCCTCCTTTGTTTTTCCCCTACCATTCCTTTCCTTCCCACCTCCCCAACTCCTCTCTCTCCACTCCCCCACCCCACAAAATTGTAAAGTTCGAATTCAGCATACTGTCTTGTACATCTCATTGTTACAATGGGTCAATCTGTATCCTTATTTCAGCATTTTGTTATTTCCCTTCCCCTCCCCAAATTAGAAAAATGCATATACAAGATGCAGGACACTGGAATCAAATACAGTGACAACAGAGGTTGTACCATAGGGAACAACATACAAAGAAACACAAAAAAAATCACATAGTACTTTATGAGTACATTAAAAAGAACAACAAGAAAGATAAAATCTCTTGTGTCCCTATCTTGGGGTTCATTTCACTTAGCATCAGGTTATATGCTCATATGTACATAGCTTTTGACCTTTTCTGCATGTCCTATACATATACTAGACCCAGAAACACAACAAATCAAAGAAAGGTTGGACAAATGGGATTGCATGAAACCGCAGAGCTTCTGTATGGCAAAGGACATAGCAAGCAAGATCAATAGAAGCCCACAGATTGGGAGAAGATCTTCACTAGCCATACAGCAGAAAAGAGTCTCATATCTAAAAATATACTTAGAACACAAAAAATTAAATTCCCCAACAACAAATCCTTAAACAAGTGCCCGATTAATAAGTGGGCTAAAGACTTAAAGAGAGACTTCTGTGAAGAGGAAATAAGAATGGCCAATAGACATATGAAGAAATGTTCAACCTAACTAGCCATAAAAGAAATGCAAATCAAAACAACATTGAGACACCACCTCACCCCAGTTAGAATGTCTATAATCAAGAACTCTAATAACAACAGATGCTGGAGGGGATGTGGCCAGAAGGGAACCCTACTGCATTGTTGTGGGAATGTAAACTTGTTCAACCACTTTGGAAAGCAGTATGGAGTTTCCTCAAAAGACTCCACATAGAGCTCCCCTATGACCCAGCAATCCCACTCTTGGGCATTTACCCAAATGTTTACAAACAAGACCACACTAAAGCTACCAGCACAACTATGTTTATTGCAGCATTATTCACCATAGCTAAGATATGGAACCAACCCAGATGCCCCTCAGTAGATGAATGGATCAAGAAAATGTGATACACATACACACACACACACACACACACACACACACATACACACACACACAAAATGGAATTCTATGCCTCCACAGAAAGAATGATATAGCCCCATTTGTTAGGAAATGGAAAGACTCAGAAAAAATAAGTGAAGTAAGCCAAACCCAAAGATCCCATGGTTTCCCTTATCTGCAATAACTAGATTGGGTTTTAAAGTTTCCTTGAGCTGCTTTTCACAAGAATGTATCAAAGAGCCGGGCGCCGGTGGCTCACGCCTGTAATCCTAGCTACTCAGGAGGCTGAGATCTGAGGATCGCAGTTCAAAGCCAGCCAGGGCAGGAAAGACTGTGAGACTCCTTCTCCAATTAACCACCAGAAAACCGGAAGTGGCGCTGTAGCTCAAGTGGTAGAGTGCTCGCCTTGAGCTGAAGAGCTGAGGGACAGCACCCAGGCCCAGAGTTCAAGCCCCACGACCGACAAAAAAAAAAAAAAAAGAATGTATCAAAGATGTTTTATCTGCTTCTATTAAAAAAAAAAACCACTTTTTCTATCTTTGCAATCTCTTTAACAGTGTGAAATTCTGGCTCAATTCTTATTCAGTAATAAAACTGTTTCTTTTCCACCTTTGTGGAAAGGTTTTCTGGAGAAATTTGAGATTTTGTATTTTTATTTTCTCAATATTACTGAGCTTCAGGCAAACACTCTGGTGCCTAGTATTAAGTTGTGTAGTTCTCATTGCCTGGATAGTTGGATAATGAAGAACCATGTCTTCTGAAAATGGCTAGAAAAATGTACAGCAATTCTCTATTCCCTGTAGAGAGAGAATAAAGTGACCAAGGAATTCTT